GTGAGGGGGCTGTCAATCAAACACTGCGCTGGGCTGGAGCTTTACAGTGTGTGAATGTGTGTGTGTGTGTGTGGGGGGGGTGATGAGGGGGGTCTGAAGCCTTTTAGCACTTTTGGCAGGACATCATAAGGAGGAAGAGAAGGAGGAAAGTGTGCCTGCGGCTGTGTTTATCTACACAAACACTGCACTGTTTGAGTCTGAGTTAGAGGATAGGAGCAGGATGTCTTGCTTAGCCAGCCAACTTTACTAATGCTTAGCTTGGTCATTTACGGTCTCACAACTGGGACACATCGCCGTGGCAACTTCTGCACCACACCTGACTTGTTCCAAGGCAGTTTGAGTTCAGGATTTTGGATCATAAACATACTGACTAATCAGGAACACCCTTCTGACCAGTCAGGGATGACTTCTGACAAGATAGGAACAACTTTCTAGCCAATCAGGGATGAGCTTCTGTCCAATCAGGGATGAGCTTCTGACCAATCAGGGATGACTTCTGACAAGATAGGGACAACTTTCTAGCCAATCAGGGATGAGCTTCTGTCCAATCAGGGATAGCCTTCTGACCAATCAGGGATGAGCTTCTGACCAATCAGAGAAAGACTTCTGACCAATCATGGACAGCCTTCTGACCAATCAGAGGCAACCTTCTGACCAATCAGGAACAGTCTTCTGACTAATCAGGAACAGACTTCTGACCAATCAGGAACAGTCTTCTGACCAATCAGGAACAGTCTTCTGACTAATCAGGAACAGCTGTCTGACCAATCAGGAACAGCCCTCTGACCAATCAGAGGCAACCTTGTGAACAGTCAGGAACAGTCTTCTGACTAATCAGGAACAGCCTTCTGACCAATCAGGGACAGTCTTCTGACTAATCAGGAACAGCCTTCTGACTAATCAGGAACAGCCTTCTGACTAATCAGGAACAGTCTTCTGACTAAGCAGGAACAGCCTTCTGACCAATCAGGAACAGCCTTCTGACTAATCAGGAACAGCCTTCTGACCAATCAGGAGCAGTCTTCTGACTAATCAGGAACAGCCTTCTGACCAATCAAGAACAGCTGTCTGACCAATCAGGAACAGCCCTCTGACCAGTCAGAGGCAACCTTGTGACCAATCTGGAACAGTCTTCTGACTAATCAGGAACAGCCTTCTGACTAATCAGGAACAGCCCTCTGACCAATCAGGAACAGCCGTCTGACCAATCAGGAACAGCCTTCTGACCAATCAGGAACAGTCTTCTGACCAATCAGGAACAGTTTTCTGACTAATCAGGAACAGACTTCTGACTAATCAGGAACAGCCGTCTGACCAATCAGGAATAGTCTTCTAACTAATCAGGGACAGTTTTCTGACCAATCAGGAACAGTCTTCTGACTAATCAGGGACAGTTTTCTGACCAATCAGGAACAGTCTTCTGACTAATCAGGGACAGTTTTCTGACCAATCAGGAACAGTCCTCTGACCGATCAGGAACAGTCTTCTGACCAATCAGGAACAGCCTTCTAAAATAAGACGCTCAGCTCCCGTTTCACTGATCGGCTCTTCGTCATTGATGTAAAAATCGAGTTTGTTCAGTTACTGAAGCTGAAGTTCAGTCAGGGCCCCTCACTAAGACAGACCCCTGCCCCGCGCAGTGTGACATCAGACGGGTAAACGCCGCTGCTGATTGGCCGAGTGAACGTTCCGCTGGCGATTCCGCTTTTGATTGACGGGTTTCATTTTACACACCGCCTCCTTTCCCACAATCCCCTGCTGCTCACCAGCAGGACGCATAGAGCCTCATTAAAAACTTTCTGCTGTTCATAAAAGGTCAGACAGAGAAAGAGAGAGAGAGACATAGAAAGAGAGAGAGAGACAGAGAGAGAGGGAGAGAGAGGCATAAGGAGAAATAACAGTGGAGTTAAGAGAGAGACAGAGAGAGAGAGACAGAGAGAAGGACAGAGAGGGAGAGACAGAGAGAAGGACAGAGAGGGAGAGACAAAAAGAGACAGAGACAGAGAGAAAGACAGAGACACAAGGGAGAGAAAAGAGCAAAAAAGAGAGAGACAAAGATAAGAAATGGAAAGAGAGAGAGAAATGGATAGAAAGAGACATAAAGAGAGAATGGAGAAAGAAAAGGCCAGAGAGAAAAAAAATGAGACAGGGGAGAAAAGTGCAAACAAGAGAGAGAAGGACAGAAAGAGGACAGAGAAAGTGAGAGAGAATGAGAGAGAGAAGGAGAAAAGGACAGAGAAAGAAGGGAGCAAGACAGATAGGAGAGAGAAAGAGAAGAGAGAGAAAAAGAGACATATAGGACAGAGAGGCAAGTGAAAGAAAAAAAAGGACAGAAAGAGAGAGTGAGAAAAAGAGATAGAATGGGAAAGTAAGAGAGAGAGAGTCTGTACAGTCTGTAGTGTCTGTTATAGTAAAGTTTACTGTGTTTGAAATGATCCTTGCAAAGCTGTATAAACACATCACTCTCTGTTTGAGTGTGTGTGTGTGTGTGTGTGTGTGTGTGTGTGTGTGTGTGTGTGTGTGTGTGTGTGTGTGTGTGCGGACTTGACCACAGACATGTTTAATTTCTTTTCCATGTTTAATGTTGAACGGCCAAAAATTTTAATTTTAACCGCCATTACCTTAGCGCTAGCATATTAATCTAGAATCCCATAGGGTATAGAGTATGGGCCCTTTAAATATAGAGTATGGGCTCTTTAAACGTAGAGTATGGGCCCTTTAAATATAGAGTATGGGCTCTTTAAATATAGAGTATGGGCTCTTTAAACGTAGAGTATGGGCCCTTTAAATATAGAGTATGGGCCCTTTAAATATAGAGTATGGGCTCTTTAAACGTAGGGTATGGGCTCTTTAAACGTAGGGTATGGGCTCTTTAAACGTAGAGTATAGAATCTTTAAACGTAGAGTATAGACTCTTTAAATGTAGGGTATAGACTCTTTAAATGTAGAGTATGGACTCTTTAAACGTAGAGTATGGACTCTTTAAACGTAGAGTATGGGCTCTTTAAACGTAGAGTATGGTCTCTTTAAACGTAGAATATACGCTCTTTAAACGTAGAGTGTAGACTCTTTAAACGTAGAGTATGGGCCCTTTAAATGTAGAGTATGGCTCTTTAAATGTAGGGTATAGACTCTTTAAACGTAGAGTAAAGACTCTTTAAACGTAGAGTATAGACTCTTTAAACGTAGAGTATGGGCCCTTTAAACGTAGAGTATGGCTCTTTAAACGTAGAGTATAGACTCTTTAAACGTAGAGTATAGACTCTTTAAACGTAGAGTATGGGCTCTTTAAACGTAGAGTATGGGCTCTTTAAACGTAGAGTATAGACTCTTTAAACGTAGAGTATGGGCTCTTTAAACGTAGAGTATGGGCTCTTTAAACGTAGAGTATGGGCTCTTTAAACGTAGGGTATGGGCTCTTTAAATGTAGAGTATAGACTCTTTAAACGTAGAGTATGGACTCTTTAAACGTAGAGTATGGGCTCTTTAAACGTAGAGTATGGGCTCTTTAAACGTAGAGTATGGGCTCTTTAAACGTAGAGTATGGGCTCTTTAAAAGTAGAGTATGGGCTCTTTAAACGTAGAGTATAGACTCTTTAAACGTAGAGTATGGGCTCTTTAAACGTAGAGTATGGGCTCTTTAAACGTAGAGTATGGGCCCTTTAAACGTAGAGTATGGGATCTTTAAACGTAGAGTATGGGCTCTTTAAACGTAGAGTATAGACTCTTTAAACGTAGAGTATGGGCTCTTTAAACGTAGAGTATGGGCTCTTTAAACGTAGAGTATAGACTCTTTAAACGTAGAGTATGGGCTCTTTAAACGTAGAGTATGGGCTCTTTAAACGTAGAGTATAGACTCTTTAAACGTAGAGTATGGGCTCTTTAAACGTAGAGTATGGGCTCTTTAAACGTAGAGTATAGACTCTTTAAACGTAGAGTATGGGCTCTTTAAACGTAGAGTATGGGCTCTTTAAACGTAGAGTATAGACTCTTTAAACGTAGAGTATGGGCTCTTTAAACGTAGAGTATGGGCTCTTTAAACGTAGAGTATGGGCCCTTTAAACGTAGAGTATGGGATCTTTAAACGTAGAGTATGGGCTCTTTAAACGTAGAGTATAGACTCTTTAAACGTAGAGTATGGGCTCTTTAAACGTAGAGTATAGACTCTTTAAACGTAGAGTATGGGCTCTTTAAACGTAGAGTATGGGCTCTTTAAACGTAGAGTATGGGCCCTTTAAACGTAGAGTATGGGCTCTTTAAAGCTGTGTAAATCTGCTTATTCTGCTCTTCAGTTCACAGACTGAAGCATGTTTTTCTCTGTATGACTGTTATGGAAATATTCTGACACAGTGAGGGGAGTTTCGCTGAAGCTCTAAACACAGCGTCAAACACAGCGTTAAACACAGCGTTAAACACAGCGTCAAACACAGCGTTAAAAACAGCGTCAAACACAGCGTCAAACACAGCACTGATCGAGTTTTAATACAGTAACGCCTCTGTGTGAGTGTATGTGGGTGTGTATACGAGTGAGTGTGTTTGCGAATGAGTGTGTGAGTGTGTATGTGTGTGAGTGTGTATTTGTGTGAGTGTGTGTGTATGTGTGTGTGAGTGTGTTGTGAGTGTGTGTGAGTGTGTTGTGAGTGTGAGTGTGAGTGTGTTGTGTGAGTGTGAGTGTGTGTATGTGTGTGTGTGTATGTGTGAGTATGTGTGAATGTGAGTGTGTATGTGTGTGAGTGTGTATGTGTATGAGTGTGTGTGTGTGTGTGAGTGTGTATGTGTATGAGTGTGTGTGTGTGTGTGTGAGTGTGTATGTGTGTGAGTGTGTATGTGTGTGAGTGTGTGTGAGTGTGAGTGTATGTGTGTGAGTGTGTATGTGTGAGTATGTGTGAATGTGAGTGTGTATGTGTGTGAGTGTGTATGTGTGTGAGTGTGTGTGTGTGTGTGTGTGAGTGTGTATGTGTGAGTATGTGTGAATGTGAGTGTGTATGTGTGTGAGTGTG